ACTGGAAAAATCTCGTCGGAAGTAGTAGCAAGCTTACACATTTCTCCAATTCGTGAGCACATATTAAATTGCATGAAGTCTATTCTAATCCAAGTATCGAAATTGCGATTGAATTGCCACTTGCGACTTTGGTTTAGATTTGCTGCAGAGAGTCAAGCGGCGATGTTGGCAGAGCTAAAGCGCAGTGCGGTTAGATATGATCCCATTCAAAATGAGAAATCAGGATACAATTTTGTGCAAATGTATGTAAGAGACAAAATGAGGCCTGGCAGACCGCATAAAGTATATATATTCTTGATCAGGATGACAGGGCGAGTCAATTGAGCCCTGTCTATCTGCCTGTCCGTATGTGTGAACGCGCCGATCAAGTAAGACAGCTCTAGTCGGGTAGCCCGACTAGGAGATACCCTGATCCCAGTCCTATTTGCGTTTATTAATATTTTCCGTAGTTTGTATCGAGTATTAAAAAAAAAGAAAACAAATAAAACGACATTACGAGACAAGGATTTGAGCCCGGATTTTTGGCGCAACGTGCACCAACTCTACCAACACCGCCACTTCATAATTAAAAATAAAAATAAATATAACAATAAAAAATATTTCATCTTCACCGGTCTCAAGCCCTGGACCTAGCTGCATACTAGCGTCGCCTCTACCAACGCTGCCACTGCACCTCTTGCAAGAAGAGTTGCAAATTTGAAGTTGAGTAGCAGCTGATAATTCAAGCAGTATTAGCATTCGCAATTTCGATTCTTGGAATAGAAAAGAATACACGCATTTAAATGTATGTGTGCACACGCCAAACGTTTTGTTTAATAACTTCTGTTTTATTTAATGGATTTTAATGAAATTTTCAGCATATTATCAACATATCCTATTGGCTTGGTTGTGCTGAACTGAACTTAAATTTTAAGAATTTGGGGAAATTTGGAGCCGGTATCTAAAATCCAACAGAAATCAAAATTGCATAAAATATACATAAAACTAAATACAATTTGGAGGCTCCAGCTTTTAAGACGTTCGAGATATAATTTATTTACTGCATTTCAAAAATGTTTTTATTTGATAACAATTAAATGCGAATAGTTATCGAAAAAAAATTCAAGTCTTTAGCTCTTATAGACGCTGAGATCCACGCGTTCACACATACAGACAGGCGGAAAGGGCTCAATCGACTCGGCTTGTCGTCCTGATCAAGAATATATATCCTTTATGGGGTCTCCCAAGCCTACTTCTGCCTATTACATACATTTGCACAAAACCATTATACCCTAATTTCCCATTTTCAATTGGATCAGGGTATAAAAAGTGCCAATAAGTGAAGGAGCTTTCATTTCTACCAAGTCAGTAAAAATTTCATCAAAATCTATTAAGTAAAACAGAAGTTACTAAACAAAACATTTGTCCAATTTGCAAAAGCACATGTCAATCTTCACACACATTCATATGCGTGTATTCTTTGCTATTCGAACAATCGATATTGAATTGTGCTTGAATTATCAACTGCAACTTAATTTCAAATTTGCAACTTCTTACATAAGCAATGCAGTGTCGGTGTTGTTAGAGGCGCCGCGGCAAAGGGACGTTTTATTGTTCGGTGTCGCAATGTCAGTTCTCATGTGTTCTTTTTTTTTAGACTCGATACAAACTATTGAAAATATTTAAAAACGCAGATAGGACGGGGATCAATGAATCTCCTAGTCGGGCACTCCGACTAGAGCTTTCTTACCTGCTTACTTTTTATCTAATAAACACACCTAATTTTCTAATATTGATGAAGAAAATGTAGCATTGAATCGCACACTTATTGAAATTTACAAATACTTCCGCGAGACAATTTTAATATTTTAATCTATTTAAATTAAATTAAAGCTTGTACGTCTCTCTATTAAAACAAAAAATAACATACAATAACATATAAAAATAAAAATAATAACAAGTAAAAATTTTACAATTGGGTACCACCTACTCCTGATACTGATTCACTGTATATATAGAACCTACAAAACGTCACTGTCAAATTTTGGAACTTACGATCCAAAACTGTAAAAAACAGGGTATTTTCGATATGCCACGTCTCAATATTGTGATGACATTTTGTTTTTTTTTTCATTCATGTAGGTGATCATTAGATACTCATTAATCTATATCTAAATTTTCATATGGTAATCTTATTTTTTATGCGGGTTCATTCACGAGTGTATATTCTATATATAGTATTAAACCCCAATAGTGTTCATAAACAGAATTTGTACAATGCATTATATAGAAAGAATCGATGTGCTACGCCCTTAATGGATGTGAATATATAACATTGTCGTCGATCTGTGAAGGATCTAAACAGTAACTTAGGGAAATTAATAATTTTTTTTTAAGAAGAATTTTTTTAAAAAAGAATATTCGTAAGTAAGCGTTATCCATTTTTGCTTAAGAATGGTCCATTTGTTACAATCAAGATTCTCTCTATAGGTATATGTGAATTATGTCGATACTGATCCAACTGCTAGACTTCGAGATTGTTATAGTTTATATGAATATGGATATTATAATGCTATCCAATCCACCACGATTTTGACTGCCGTATGTACTTTGGGTGTACGAGAGTACAAATTCAAGTTACTATCTAACCGATATCTTTAAATAATAATGTTTCTGCTTTGGAAGATATAGTAATTTCCATTTCGACACTCTCCAGTGTATGTTCTAAACTCCAAGTTTCAACATTTTCTGCGTGTATATTGGCAGACCGACGGAGAGCAACAAACATTAAATAAAGGCCACAAGACACGATAATATTATATGTATATATTGAAGCCAAAATCTTAATAACCGTGATATTTTTGATTTATAATCTCTATCTCAGACGAGAAGAGTAAGAAAAAAAGATATATAGTGTCACTGGATAAGAGAGTGCAAACATCTCCTTCGATCGAAATAAGTTTAATTTATTAATTAATTTACTGGCCCATAAAATAAGCATGTCGGGGAATCCTTAAAAAAATCTGTAACAAACCCTGAATAAAAATGTGTGCATACTGTTTAAATTTTTCTGGTGGGAATGGTAAAGGCTATGCGCGGTCTCATGGAGATTCAGATCCAGATCATTACACTTTATTCACTCCATCGATCAGAAAGGTATGCTATGAATAATATCTCGTTATCGCTTGGAATCAAACTCTCTACCATAGGCGGCACTTTAAAGCTTGCGATGTGACATAAAAAAATGTCCTTGAATATTCACGAAATGGTGAATGCAAAACTAAAGTAGCAGCGGACAATTCAAAGATCATTTATCACACTTGTGATTATTTGAATAGAAAAGAATGCACGAAATTATATAACCATTCGATTTATTTAATACGTTCTGTTTGCAATATGTGGCAATTTAGTCAAACAAACGAACTCTTTCACATCTTAGCTATATTCGCAACTGAAGTCTAATTTTAAGAATTTTGTTAAATATCAAGCCGGCTATAAAAATATAAAAAATAAGTATGTTGTATATACTCGGGACCATACCGCATGAGAGATAGCTGAATTCTTATAACGTTTTGAATCGATTACATTTTAACGGCAGTAGAAAGCAAATATTTCGCAAAAAGCTTGATCTTTGCTAGCTACAATGGAACCTACAAAAGGTGTACATTTCATGTCTCTACCTCTTATATGATTTAAAATCGACGCTTTCATGCATATGAACGGACGAACAATCGGACACTGATATATCGACTTAGCTTGTCGTCTTGATCAAGAATATATTTCCTTTATGACGTACCTTTCTAATTGTTACATAGACATTAACGACTTTAACCAGAATTCCCATATTCATTTTGTTCATTGTATATAAATATAGAAAAATGTTAAGTATGTGATATCTTTTTATATAATTTAAGTAGCAAATATCTCATTAGCCACCTTATTGAAGAGCAAAGTTTTCAACTTATCCAAATACTTAAAAACAAGAAGTTGCCAAAAATAGAGCTACGAAACAAAAATGATCTATGTAGAAACAACTGGTAAGAAAAACAAATTTTTTATGAAAGTACTTATATGACATGTGTTTTAAAAAATATTTTAAATTCCTTTCTGCTCTTTTTTTGAAACTCTGTAAACGATCAACTTTTTTGTCTGCCCAAAGAAAAATCCGATTCACGTTTTTAAATACTGCAGAAAATAAAGGAAACACTGAACAAAATTCATATCACACTAAGAATCTTTATCAGTGATATTTTTGTTTGAGTTTTTGTTCAAGAATATGTTTAGTAGATCATTTTGGCTATGTTGTAAAAAGCTAAATCGAAAACATATTGCATTACTTTAAAATGTTGTTGTAAAAAGACTTACTATATTTATATATATTCTTTTGTATTTGTGTATACGTATTTAACTATATTTATGTATGTACGGAACTTTATATATATATATATATATATCTTAAACTGCATATCATGACCATTTATTCATGATAATTTGTGTATACTTTGCTATATTGTTGAACTGTGTCTAGATTATCCAACGAGAATAAAACTTTCCCATTAGGGCTTGTAATTATTTAAACCTATCAATATCTAGGGAATGTTTCAGTGGAAGTCTGCAAGTTTCTTGCTTGTCAAGTTTTTCTGCTGACGCAAAGAATTAAAATATAAATAAAATAAAATAAATATAAATATAATAACCCAAACATTAACTAATACATTTTACAATTGTTAATTACTATAAGTAATGACAAAGAGTGCAAATTACACTAGAAGCATTATTTACAAATATATATATATATATATATATATATATATATATATATATATATATATATACATATATATAGTTTTCTAAATAAAATTATGACATAAATAATGCCAAAGACGAAAAATTACACTGGTAGCATTATTTACAAATATTTTAATGTTTGTGAATAAACATACATTTATATATATGTTATATATATATATATATAAATGATAGTTTTGTAAGTACATTTACTTCACTTAACAAGATCCGTTTTCAAACGTGGTCTTTGACACCAACTACCACAATCAATACCTATTATTAGACACTATCTTTGGAATACAGATAAACATTTCTTTGTTGGCCAATGTAGTCTTCAGCGATACCACCGTCAAGCACAAGACAAATTCAGAATCCTTCCAAAAAAATTAAAATGTGCTTGTATAGCTACACCCACATCCTGTTCCAGGTAGCTATGTAGTTGGTGGCATATGGTCACTATCGAATTGATTTCGGAGTGCTCGTTGACGCTGCTGATTTCGGCAGTTTACTAGGACGATTGAGCTTTGTTGAATTACTTTGGTTATTGCAGTTGTATTGTAGTAGGTGGTAGCTTGATGGATGGACAGGGTGTTCGACTTCAAAAAGAACAATAATCCGAAAGAAAGTAGTACTAGTAAAAGAAATTCCGGCGGCTGTAAGGGCGCAGATTTTCCATGATGCATAGCCGCAGGATGCTCGCCTATAAATAATAAAGAATAATAATGAGCATATGTAAGAAACAGTGAGTAAATATCATACGTATTAACAGTTAAAGAAATTAAATAACAAGTATTTCCGTTTGAATACTTGCTCAGTCTGACCTATAGTGGAAAACTGTAATGTTGGCTCATGTACATTTCAGTTGTATAAAAAAGTGATTGTGGTTTAACCATTTTAGATAGATTTGAGACGAAGAACAAATAGCGTGTGGGAGAAACTGGAATATATATTGGATATATAAGCCCACTAGGGGCGGAACAAATCGGAATATACTAAATTGTTATATCAACAACGATGCTAGTTAAACTGCTAGAGACTTCAAATTTTAAACATCTACTTGCGTTGATAATTTAATAATCAAAAAGATATAGTATTACGTCAATTTGAGGTGAGGCAAATCTGATCAAACTATTGCAGTTTAAGAGCTCGAAACCAAATTTGTCGTATGAATAACAGTTAAAAATTATCCATAGATTAACGAAAAAATAGGGACGTGGGAAATCGGATCTGAATACATAGTGTTTTGAACAATTATTTTCTAAGGTTGTTAGAAACTTAAAAATACCATTATTAAGTAACTATTTATCACCTCAATCGTGGCGTGGCTTAAAGAAAATACAGTGTAATTTAAACATTTTTGGGGTCTAAGCCTCAGATCTTACAGTCACGTTAATATTGATTACTCCTAACACGCCAACTGGCTATGTGGTAAGCTGGAAAATGCTGAATATTCTACAGTTTTACAAAATAGAAATTCAAGATTTTCCGAACAAGATACAGTTGAACTCTTCTACTGATTTACCACAAATGATATATATGCCCCTTGAGGGCCTGTCAAATAAAAAAAAATGTATCTTCCAAAGTTTTGAAACTGGCTTAGATCTTGAGTATTCAACAGTCGGTAGCATTCCATTGTAGCGTGCTTGCTTATATATTCCCTGAATATTCGTCTTACACCCATTAAAAATGAGAAATCAGGGTCTCATTAAAATGGATGTAACAGGCAGAAGGAGGCGTAGCAGACCCCACAGAGTATATATATTCTTGATAGAAAGTACCAGCTGAGTTGATTTAGCCCTAATCGATAACAGCTCTCGTTATGTTGTTGACATGATCAAAATACAGGTATTAAATTATATCTGGTACGGTTCAAGAGCTAGAGCCTACCAATTTTGTATTTAGTTTATTGTATATTTTATATAATTTGATTTTCCCCGAATTCTTTCAATTTATTTTCAGTTGCATATATAGCCTATAAGTGAAACACTTTGCATTTAAACTAAGCTGATAAGCACTGCCATAAAATATGTAGGTCATAGGTTGACAAATTCATTGAAATCCGATAAGTACTACAAAAGTTATTAAGCAAAACGCTTGGATAATTTGCAACCGCTCGCGGCAAGCAGCGCCAAGCGTATGCATTTTTCCTACACATATGCACACATAGAGAAGTGGCGGGGTTGGTCGAGAAGCTCTGCGTTCAATGCCAGGCGGCGTCGGACTTTGATTTGTTTTTTTATGAAGGGGAGGTTCTTATAGTGTCAGTTTTTGTTCTTTCTTAATGCCAGATACAAGCTATAGTAATTATTTTAAGTGTCCCATCTGGACTCAGGGTATCTTGTAGTCGGGCACCTTTGATTAGAGCTTTTTTCCTTAATTTTAAGTAGGGATGTGCCACATAGACTTCTCAACAAATAATTGGTCATTTCTTAATTCCCACAAAAGAAGAATGATTGAAACGAAAATGATTGCATACCGGGCTACTCACCATCGACGATATGCACCCGCACCGACGTCGGATTGGCATTTGATGGTGTACATGTATAAAGGCCAGAGTCCTGCTGGATGGCCTTCTGCACTAGAAGTCGACTAGTTGTCAGAATACCCTTTTCAGTTACAAGGGATATACCGCCGCGGGGTGAATCGAAATTTATAATCTGAAATAAATTATAAATTATCATTAGATCTAAGAAAATCAAAAACCTCTATTACAATAGTAGTAAAATATTTATATATATATATTTCCTGAACAAAACACTGGTAGTGTTCAGTTCTGTAATGATCTTTATTCGTTTGAGCTAGAGTTCTTATACCCTGACTCATGCGTATCTCTGAAATCTAGCTTATCAAGTGCTGAGTGTGTAAGGCTCAGCGTTGGTAGGTCTAATTTTAGATTCTAAGCATTTAATTTGATCTATTCTTATTACACTCCGTGCTAGTCGTTGAGTGCGTAGACGGCATGCTTAGAATTCATGAATATGTCTTATGTTCATGCTTGAACATTCAATGAGACAGCTAGCAATTGCTGCCTCAGGTTTCTTCTTTTTATCATATACAGGACCATTGGAACTATTGTAATTATTATTAGTCCTAACGGAATGTGTCCATTTACAGTGTGTAAGACCAGATCCTCAATGGTTAATTTTTGATGATACAAATCTTTTATGTCTTTATGTCCACTGAGTTGTTTACCACAATGTGGGGAAGTGGCGTCAGAACCAAATATTGTATTGTTGTGGTCAAAAACTCTGAAGAACACTGCAGAGTACTTTGCAGTAATTGTTGACGATATCTCCAACGCCGTTATGATGTTGACTTTTACCTATCCTGGCTGAACATCCAACTTACAGTTCAATTATGCCTTTGTTTGGTAATAAGGTCATCTCTTCGTAGTTCCGCATATGATGTGCGCTGAACTTATTTTCAAATACTTTGAAGAGTCACCGGTTTTTTCCGTTTAATTGGTTTTAATGGCGATATTTCACAGCTCTCGTCATCCGCATCTTTCAACGCCCAATTTTCCTCGCATAAGTACGTGTCCTCGTCTTCATGGCGACAAGGTTGATCTCAGTGTTGAAGATGAGAAATTTCGTTTTGATTCTCGGAATCACCTTTCTTTCCTCGAGCACAAGTGGTATAAGTACTGCTTCGAAGAGACTGGCATGGTCATTGATGTATATTGCCAACCTTGCGCCTATGATTTGTTGTTGTTGTCCTCGAATATCGCTTGTGCCTTACCCGGGAAGAAGCTGTCTTCGTTTTAGCTTCTTTTCGATCTAGTTAAGTTCGGTCAGCATTTTATTTGGTTCAACCAGGGATGGATGCACTCTTCCTTGGTTCATATTCGTCACAAAGCCAATTACTGCTGACGGAAGGTCTTCGGTTTCATCAATTAAGTTTTGCACTTGGGTGATCAACATGAAGAATTTTACGGACTCCTTGTACATGACGAAGTTCTCTTTCATTGTGTTTGGCATCTTGTTTATTTCCATTGTGACTTTCTCAAAGTTTTTATTTACCTCTTCTGTGGTAGCTGGCTCTAGGTTTGACATTTATTATTAATGTTTGGTTGCCGACATAATCATTTAGGCGCTTTACGTTTTTGACAATTGTCTACATGTTTTTCCTTTAGGTTACCTGCAGTGCCAATGTCGAAGGACATTATAAACCGTTTTTATCTATCCGCTGTTCGTGTGATGATTTTATTTTTCTCCTTTGTGGTTTTAATTTTCGGCTTTTCTGCGAATTCGCCCAATTTTTCGCAAATTGTATCGGTTTTACTTATGAGTTCATCTGCTTGTTTTAAGACTTCGAATTATGCTTGCATATTGTAATAGAATAATAGCTGCCAGCTTGATGAGACGACTTCTAATTTCCAAGATTGTCCACTAGCATCGCTGTGTGTTGTTCCATGTTATGTATTTTTAGCTTACTTTTACCTGTACGAATTACTATAGTGGTACTTGCTACCTGCAGGCTGAAAATCATCACTTGTTCTGTCGGAGATTTGGACGATCGTGATTTCATCCGTTATTTTTGGTGGCTTTCTCACCTTTATCCTGAGTTAGTAGCAATTAGATCTTCTTTATTGATATCTTGACCTCTCCCATATTTGTTTTTATTGTTAGAACACGAACTATATTATCTTCTACCTTTGTAGTATTCGTTATCATTCCCATGGTCCATTTAACGGAATGCGACTTTTCTTGTTTCAATAGAACGAGTTGGTTTTCCATGAGATTTGCCCTTTCCTACTGTCATTTGGTTCGTTGTTGCAGTGATGCCAAGTATTCCTCCTTAAATTTCTTCCAGAAATCTCATCTGATACGTTGCATGTATCTCAATCTGTCCAACATCCCCATTTTTCGATGCTCCTCAAAGTGTTCTGGTGCTCCAATAAGTTGTCTTCCCATAATAAAATGACCAGATTTAAAAATATCGTCTCCATCCGTGTCACTATTTGACAAGTGGGCGTGGGTTTAGCACTGCTTCAATTTGGCTGAGCAATGTTGTGAATACCTCTAATGTAAAGCTGTTATCGCCGATGGCTCGCTTTAGATGGTGTTTCACCGGTTTAACTCCCGCTTCCCATAATACTCCCATGTGGGGGCTTGCCGGCTGCCGGAGGAAGTGTAACTTGATGCCCTCTTTCAGTACTGGTGCAAGGCTGTTTTTTTCTTTTATAGCAGCGACAAGATCCTTATCTAAATTCTAGTAGCACCATTGAAATTTGTACCGTTATCTGAATACAAAAGTTCACTTCTGGCGTGTTTGGCAAAGAATCGGCGTAGGACTTCTAAATACTTATCTGATGATACAGAAAGGGGTTGAGTGCCTGCAATTTACTCTTGGCGTCCAGAGGTTTTCCAGCGTTGAGTAGCCCAATTTCATGTCCAAATTCAAGCTATTGTAATTTTACAACGACTGTTTTGGCCTTCTTAAATTCGTTGACACTAAGGTATATCCAGTGTTCCTTCTTGAAGAGAATTTTGTTAGGAATGGGATCAGATAATTTTCTTTTGAGTTTAGAATAATTGATTCTGGCTATTCATATTGTGGCCACTGATCTGGCTGTTTTGTCAACCACTCTGGTCCTTTCCACCATATCTCGAAGTCTCCCAATTGCTTCGGGGAAATTCCTCTTGAGGCGACAGCTGCAAGGTTGTCTGCAGATTTCACGTATTTCCATTCGACATGAAGGAGTTTGTTTATTTCGTCTACTCTAGTTTTAACGAGTTTATGTTTGCTCCGCTTGTTTTTACCCAAGCTAGCGTAATTTCTGAATCACTCCATGCTTGTGTTTTGGCATGATTTCCTAGTATTGCTTGTACTTTAGCTAATAGTTTGCTTAATAAATCTAGTTTTGTATTGGAATCATTTTGCTTTTTACAGCCAGCAGACTAATTTTGGACCCAAATTTGGTATATACCACTGCTGCATAAGCATTGGTATATAAGTGGTATCTACCAATTTATGTGAGGACATCCTATTTGGGGTCCCATTGCAGACCAAGTGTTTTTATTGAAGCATCCTTAAGTATTTGGATTTTTTCCATTGAGTCGCTGTCCCGAATCCTAGCAATAATCCTATCATTATTTGATACCTATTTTACTTAATGCATGCCAAGCTTTTCCATGATATCCCTGAGTTCCGTTTGTGTGCTGGTACAATCGCAAAACGAGTCGCCACCAATGATGAGATCATCCATATAGAAATCGTTATTGATTGTTATCATTAGTCGCTTGTTACTTTGGCAGTGTTGGCTTGCCAATTCTTGCAGACAGCAGACAGCTCAAAATGGCGCAGCTGATGTCCCATACGTTATTGTAGTCAGATTAAATTCTTTGATTGGCAATTTTGTCTCTCCAGAGTATGTACTGATATTCCTGATCATCTTTGGCGACTTTAATTTGTCGATACATTTTCTCGATGTCAGCTGTCATCACGTATTTCCATTGTCGCCAAATTACTAAAATATCGAAAATGTCCTTTTCTATTTTGGGCCCGACTAACATCACATCATTTACACTCAAACCATGGGAAGTTTTGGCTGAGGCGTTAAACACTACTCTCAATTTAATAGTAAGGCTGCTTGGTTTGATCACTGCTTGACGTGGCATATAGTATTTGCCTTGGCCAATAGTGTCTACCAATTCCAATGTGACCTAGCTTCAGGTACAGTTCCATGAAGGCACTCCATTCCTTGAACATTGGCCGATTCTTTCTGGGTTTGTTTTCCATTTGTAGCAGTCTTGCCATAGCCTGTTTTCGAGAGTTTCTTAACTTGAATCCTTTCCGGAATGGTATAGGGACTACTAGTCGGCCTTCTTCATCTTTTGTGATTGTTTTTTGGAATAGCTTAGCTGTGGTTACTTTCCAGCTCCCAGAACCGCTCGAGGTCGTCCAGGCACATTGTTGCTGATGCGCTGATTATCTTGTTGCTTGACAATCTAACTATATTGCCGGAGACAATCCAACCATGTTCAGTCTTTTGTCCCAGGGTTTCGTTGATTTTCTTTTATTTTCTCAACAACATCAATTATATTTGGCTCGTTCAAATGTGGGTCTGCTAGATCGCAGCTCATCCTATCCTTTTTGACATCCATGTCAATTTTCTAGCTCGGAGGAGCTCTCTGAAGTTTTGACATAACAAGTGCCTACGTTGTGGTGACGAAATTGCTTTTAAACCTGGGTTTGATTGTTAAGCAAACATTATTTTTAATCAACATATCTTGCCTTTTAGACAGTTGCTGCTGAAGGTCTCTTTTTGAGTTGCATCCTCGTGAAGCAAATTGTTGTGTGCTTCGGTGCATAGATTGCAAGTCCAATTCTTTTTGAAATCTTCAATTCTATGGCTGCCTAGACATTTGTAGCAAAGCGAGCTATTAGATACAAGCTCCTTTTAACAGGCTCAGCTGTAAATCTCTGACACCTGGTTATCTCATGTCTAGTCAATTGGCAAAAACGGAATATTTTGTAGCTTGTTGTCTTTGCTTCCATTGAGGTATGGGCGGTGGTCTTTTGCACTGAGTCTATTTTGTTATATAGTTGTACAATAAACTCCAGCACATTATCCATGGACTGAATTTCTCTAGCCTTCTTAACATAACTCGTAAAGTTATAGGACTTCCGTAGAGAATCAACGCAAAAGAATTTG